CGGGCTTGCAAATCTCTCCGCCGCAAGTAAGCCAGATTTGCTGGAGTCGCGGCGCAGAGATTTGCCCGCCGCGAGTCCGCCAGATTTGGAAGAGCCGCAGAGCAGAAAATCGGAGGGGTCCGGGACAGAAAATGGGAGGCCTCCGGCACAGAAAATGGGAGGCCTCCGGAGCACAAAATGGGAGGGGTCGGGCGCACATATATGTACCTAGTCAATTTGCTGTGATACGCAGCTTAGCATTTTCGAAAATAAGTTGCCGTCGCTCTCGTCTTACTCGTTTTTTGTCATTCTTTCGCTCTCGTTTTTCTTTTTTTTGGTTTTTCGTGTTCCTCGTCGGCGCGCTGGCGTTTATTTGTTCATCTCCTTCTTTTCAGGTTTCAGGTTTTAGGTTTTCGTGCGGATGCACGTAGTCACTTTTAGTGTTTGGCTCTTTTCGACTTGCTGAGACATCGTTGACTATTGATGGAGTGGTTTTTGTGATTGAGATTCGGCCTCGGTACCCTTATGTGGTGTCTCTTGAATTATTTCCGTGTTTCCGGGATTGATTGATGCTAGAATTATCCTTACACTGCTTGGCCTGTCTCAGGGAATATCTTATACGGTTAGTCTGTCGCATTCTTGCTAAATGCAGATCTGCTATGCAAGTTCATGCAACTCTTTCACATTTTTCAGTATATCGGTCTACTTACAGTTTACCTGTTAGAAATTGTGACAGGCGCTCAAGAAATTTTCATTTTTTTTCGAGATTCCAAGTTCTCAGACTTTGCACAAAGTCATAATATGCAGGTAAAGTCTGTGTCCTTGTTTCTGATGATAGATAAGCCTTCAAATTTGCATTCCAGCGTGAGGGTCACTCTACGAGAAAAGGCCCACAGAAACCGTCGCACCGCAAACCAAACTTTACGTAGCTGCAGGTGAAAGGGGAGATACCACAGTGAAGGTGAGTGGTACATTCTACGAAGTGCTCATTTTTGAGCTTGGATTTGTAAGGTCCAAAACCTGGGTCCGATCTTCAAGACGGATTTTCGATGTCACTTCAAAGTAGGAAACGTTGAACGCGAAAAACCTGCTGTCGGGACATTCGACGACCCTGTGATATGAGGAAGATTACAATTTTTTTGATTTTGCATCCATTTCTGTTTGTACTTGTGATGAGATGCAGTTCGATCACTACGGGCTTGGTGTATCGGGAGGATTAGCTCCGGGGTTCAACGTTGTGTGGTTGTTCTTTATTAGCTGGACTTGCACACAGCTGCGTGCTATTCAGCCAATCTTGTGGTGATTCTTGCCAAGCATGCCATTGGTCTAACACATCTGTCGTCTATAACACACCAGCCACATTCATACTTTTCAGCATTCAGCGCAATACATCGCCACAGTTCGATGCAAGAGCTTCGCACTCATAAACCTGGAAAAACCACAAATTACGACACCTATCACTAAAAAAATTCCGATTAACCTCCACGGCCACTCCACCAATGTTATCCAGAATGTGTTTTCTGGAAGAATCGCTCGAAAACCACACAACGTTGAACTCGACCAAGCTGTTCCTCCCGATAACCAAGCCCGTAGTGATCGAACTGCATCTCATCACATCTGGCACAAACAGAATTGGATGCAAATCAAAACAACTGCAATTTTCAGTAAATCGTTTTGCAGTCAATTTGAAATAAATGTTTCGTCTTGTCTTCATTCTTCTATTTTCTATCTACAAACGCTAGGGGTGAGAGGGAGGGGGTAGAGTAGGGGGGTGAGGGTCGCGCTGAAGTCCTACCCCGGGGGGGGGGGGGCGTATTCGGCTAATTTGGGTGGGGTTTAGAGACATAATTGGGGTTTGGAGATTATTTAGGGTTAGTTACAGTATGCCGCGGCAGACTTGCGGAGCACAAAATGGGGGGCTCCGGCGCACAAAATCGGGGGGGGGGGGGCTCCGGCGCACAAAATCGGGGGGGGGGGCTCCGGCGCACAAAATCGGGGGGCTCCGCCGCACGAGTGGCAGACCCCCCGCTGGGGAAACCCCGCGCCCTTGCCATCTCTGCGCCGGAGGGGTCCGATCGACTGTCTGAGTTGAAATTGTGGCATGTTCGTCGCATAGCAGTGGCGTATTCCCTTCGGAGGGGGGGGGGACAAAAACTTTTTTCTGGTAAAGGTGCGTGGCGTTCGTCTCACTCCGAAATTTTTGTTTGCTTCCTAGAATTTTCGCGGACCCATAACCCCGAAGCCCCCCGCTCTCGGTATGCCACTGTTGCATGTGACGCCATTTTTTACACGTATTCATACTGCTGATTGGTCATTTAAAGCCCTTTGCACTCTTAAAATACAGATATGAAATATGGGCATACTTACTATCCATCCCATCTAGATGGTGCAGGAAGTCCAAGACTATCACATGTACTCGGTCTTGTTGCTATATTCAAAACCGTTCAAAAAACCAAAATTTTTCGCTACTTATCTTTGCCACCTGTACGAGACAACAGTTTGCTCAGTACAATGACTTGTGCAGTACTTCTTCAGTTACATCTATGACCACCTTCATAGATTCAACAGCAGAAAAGGGTAAAGCAAATTCAATAAAGTATACCCAAAGAGCCTGCCTATGCGATGTTTGCGATGTTTGCAGCATCGCTGGACTTCTACAATACTGGCTAGTCCGAATATGATAAGAGAAAAAACTTCTCATTGAATTAATTTTTACCATGAACATTGCTCTGCATGATTTCAGCAAGAGAGCCACAAACGTTATTGAGTCCTTATTCACAATATCGTAAGACATGCTTGATCACAAGAATGAAAGCGTTTAGTGTAGAGCTTTTCAAGTTTCAAAGTAGCTGCAAGCCACACCATAGAAAGACGGTTGCTAAGCAAGATAGCGTTTGTAGCAATAAGCAAAAAACTACTCTGAATCAAGACCGGTTCTCGAATCTGGTTCTTAACTGCATTCTAGCATTTTCTTCTAGGCTTTACAAAAAAGTTATGTCTTTAGTGACAAGTGTGATACGTAAAGATATTATACTTTTAGGCGCAGCACTAGGTCAATATGCCGTGATAAGAAATCGAGAGTATCTGAAGCAACAGTAAAAAACAGCAAGCAATTCATATTACTCCCTTTACTCTCCCTCGATAAGGAAGGCTGTTGAACAAACTCACAAATTTACTTCGCAGTGCTATTTCTTGGCCCATCACCAAATAAACTACGCACTTTTCGGGTGCATTGTATGCTTATAAAATGACTGTAAACGTCACCGTGCTGACTAGTCACGTGAATGTAATAAACATCATCCGCTAAATAAGTTAGCAAGCTTGAGTTTCATATGTTTCCACGATCATCTGACAATTTATTTATTTATTTATTTATTTATTTGAACACGCCACAGGCGCGCCATGGTGTCGGGTTAGTAATCAACAGATTCATGAAAAAAAATCAGTGTTAGAAATACACAAACACAGAGACCAGAAAGGCTTAACGCAGAAAAATAGAATAGCTTTTTTGAGACCATTCGCCAGTCTAGGTTTACACCAGTGAATGATAGAACACAAGGACTAACTATTAGAAGCGCTGCCATAAAGGATATTCATATGAGTCTGCGCATGCCACCCTCGCTGACCAGCAAGCGACCAATATTCAAAGAGTATGACGGAGACTATGAAAAGGGGATGCTAGCGCAACAAACTAGGCAACCCTAGTACAACCGAACATACTGGATGAGCCACAAACTCAATAGGAAAACTGGAAATAAGCTCGGAAAAAATATATTCGGGCAGTCTCCTTAGGCCAGCCTTATGTACCAGGACTAAAAGAAAAATTAGACCCAGATCGACAAATATGTCTCAGTCGAATTGAACTGACACATCATCAAACCAAAGATCAAACAATACGCAACGACATCTATCTTACACTCTTACAAAAGGCAGTACAGGCAAAAAAAAAGAAGAAGCTGGAACTCGATCATGCTTGTCAACAAATACTGGACGACACAACTTGAGTCCGCCGAGAAGTGGGATCTAAAAAGAAAACCAAGAAAAACAACTACAAACTAAAGAGAAAGCTAAACTCCCAAGCTTATCGCAGATGAAAAAGACGTGGCAAGAAAGAAGATGTAAAGCAGTCGGCCGAATTTAACCATTTTCTGAAAAAAAAAGAGAAGAAAAAATGGGTTGAAATAAACGAAACACACATCTTGCATCTTGTAGAAGAGACCCTACTCTGAAAGTATTTAGACTCGTCAATGCCTAACAAACTCAAAAAGTCGCATTCCAAAAGCTTTTTTTTAACAATTTTGAGTTAACAGAAGAGATGACAGAGTCAGGCAATTTCTGCATCCAACGTGCAAGTTATAAAAAAGCTTGTTCAATTTTGTTGATCCTATTGAATCAGCACAGTAAAAATTAAACCTACCTGTATGTCCGTAGCAAGGCTTCCAAACCCAGAATTCACTAGGCAAAAGCTTAGTCTCGAGACGTAATATTTGGAAGGCAAGTACTAGATCAGTAACAACCCTTCGGTAAAGCAGGCTATGGAGCTTGAAGCGGGTCAACCTACTTCTATAGGACGGGAGGGCAGCTGGGTAATCGTCGTTGGGCATAAGTCTATAGAAAAGGATACGAGTAAAAGTCATTCTTTCCAAAGTCAAGATATCCTTCTTTATATATGGACTCCAAACTTGGCTAGCATATTCTAAATGCGGGAGGACATAAGCCATATACATTACAATGAGAATGACTGTATCACTATCAATTTGACAAAAGCAATGTGTACCTGGTTGCATTTTGAACTGATTTGAAATGAGCCTAAGTTCGATTTTTGGGTTACAAATTACTATGGTGACGTCTCAAATGCAAAACTTTTATTAGTCCTCAAGCACATTTTGGTTAAAAAAACTATATACATTCGGGTAAAAGCAGCTATAATCCATGACCAATCAATATTTGCGACATATCTAAAATACCACTACAAATAGCTATCCATCACATAGTTCAGTGTGAGTATCATTATCCAGCCTTTATTGACCTCCAGCCAGGGCTCCAACCATTGATCCAACAACAACACCTTTTATCATTCCTCGCACTGGGTTTGGAAAGAAAGTTGTACAGTGAGAAAAATTAAACAAAATTTATTGGAAACTTACTGTGTGATCGCATTATTCTCATCGGAATGAGACCGTACGGTTTGATGTATCTAATGTATGGTACGGTGGCTATGAGTATGGGAATGATGGACATAAGGCCATAGAGTAAGCATTTGTTTTTCTTTCCATCTTAATTTAGTACGCTAATATCGTGTTCAGATCCTGTAGGAAAAGCGATAAGGGCTGCCGTTGTGGGACCATTGCTCGGCGCAGCAGTAGGTCGATAAAAGAACCGAAGCGTCTTTGATATATGTGGATTATCTTCCGATATATTAATTGTATGTGTATTTTGCTTATAGTAAGTGGCTCTGAGTATCAAACTGTAGACACCAATCTGTTTATAAATTCAATTTGTATTTTTGACCGTTCAAATATGAATGACTATTGTCTCGTCTGAATGTAATTTTCTGCTATCATTTTTCCGTTCTTTTATAAAGTTGTATATTAAAAAAGAGTAGCGATGTATATGGTAGGTTACAACGGGTGTAGGCCCTTCTTAACCCGCTCTAATTGCGATGGCTACGATAGGTCAGCGCGTCTCAGAGGTCACGTCTTAATTGGCTGCTTCGATAGGGCGAGCGGTTGACCTAAGCAGGTGCGCTGCGAAAACGGACGAGTTCCTCAGTGATGACCTCCCTCCCTAAGACCCTTGACAGGGATGTCGTAGACGCATGATGTCAATTGAATGCTGCTATTCTGCTGTCTTACCTAGTAAACTCGCTGCTATCCACTAAATTGACATGCTTCCAATCACTTAAAAACTGTGGGATGTGTTTGCTTCGACTACTGAAGTACTCTATTTTTGTATGAGTAAGGTGAGTGCTGTAAATCTTTTTACTCCAGGTGTGCAATCCTTGCTGCATCGTGTATCGTCACATTCATTTGTGCATGTAAACTAAACGAAGCTTGCAGGAAAAACACACTTTTTGGTTTGATTATTGGTGATAACCCGAGACCCGAGATTCTTGTTAATGCAGTTCGCCAACAGTTTGAATCTGCGCCGATTGCAGCGGCTGCATAATTATAAATGTAAACCATACAAATACTTATCAATTTTGAACCTAGTTCTAAGCATAAAGGAAAATATCGGATATCACTGTTTCGTGAGCTTTAGGGAGCCAAGAAGTTCTAGAATCCAACTCAGAGATTTGATCTACAAGCAGTGGCTTACGAACATTCAAAATTCCATGCACAACCCCAAAAGTTAGCGAGAAATGAGCAGCGTTTGCACAAAACACTAGATGCTACCAAACAAATGCCTTGATATTGAGCGAAAGTCATTCAAAGCAAAGTATAAACTATTAGGTATCGTGCAGAGTTCATAAAAAACATCTGTTGTACTTCGAATTGTGGGTCGGTCGCGTGTGCTTTCCTTTCGTCGCCTCATGCAATTCACAACGTTCAAACGTGTGACAATGCATGAAGCAGAAAGGATGCGCACAAACAAAATGTGGCAACAAAAGTAATCAAAATGAGATGAGAAAACCATTCATATTTCTAGAAATAAACCTGATTGATACGATCACGCTAATAGGCCGTAGAATAGCAAAATGCAGCAAATAGCAGCTTTACAGAAATGGGATTGGATAAGTGAAATCCCTGTGTTCAGATCTGAATGCTGTAGTCTTCAGTGCAACTCGAGGTGCACTGAAGACTTTCGAAAATAAAGCGTTCCGCAGAAACTCGTCCGCAATGGCCGCAGCGCAGGCGCCCGCGTCCTACTTGTGAGGTTACTGTAATAGACGGTGGGTTCAGAAGGGCCGTTTCCCGGTTACAACCCATGACTTCGGCGGTCGGGCAGGAGGGGGTGTATGTCAAGAGGCGCGATTTGCCAGCTGGATACCAAATAGTACATAAAAGTGTTCTGCAACTTTCTAAAAGTTCATGAAATTTAGAAGAAGATATGTTAAACAGTTGCACGAGGTGTTCAATGTTGATACTCTAGAAAAAATTCAAAACAGCAATTTTGAAGGTCAGAAACTTATGAGAATGCATTTCAAAACAAATTCATAGATATTTCAGTGACTCATAGAAAAGCCATGAAACTCAGCAAATGGTGATCTTAGACAGATAGTAAGCTGATACACTTTATGTGGTATGAAGACTCGCATAGCACTAAACTAGAGTTTTATGTTTGTGACAGCCGAAGAAAGCGCGCCTCTTGACCGTCTCCCGGCAGGAGGCAACAAATGTTTGCCGCTTCTGCCTATGGAAGTATCTGAAAAGCTCCAGACTTCCTTGCACCTCTAACTACTTCTTCGCCCCTTTGACTACTTGAAAAGACCTATTGATGAGACCTATTGCGCCCGATTGTTCGTAGGCTTTCCCAGCGTGCTAGATTAGGAGATACATGTTTTAGCTTTCAGAGTCATGTCAAATGATTTAGCATTGGGTTGTAACGAAATTTCCGGAGCACTCCTGAGAATTTCATTTTCTGACGCATTTTTATAGCGCTCGGTCGGAAATTTGACACAAAGTTTTTTATACTGCTCAGTAGAGCGAACTTTTCAATACCGCTTTTGATTTCTATCGATGCCAAGACGTGTTTGACCTGCACATCAAGAAAGAAAATCTTTCCAACCATAAAAATTTCGCAATTTTTCTTCCTGCGCCCATTTTTCTGTGCAATGCAAAGAATTTTGTCCAAATTATGAATGATCTGATTAAGGAACCTGTTAACTTCTGACCAGCAGCTGCACTCGAGTTTTGCGATTTACGCTCAGAAATTGTAAGCTGTCGAACTTGCTTCTGCTCAGATAACTGCCGGGGGCAGCCGGCCATGCGAATTTTGAGCAAGCGCGCACCGGAAAAATAGTTCGTTGATTTTTTGCGGCCCGCTTGCAGAAATTTGGAAGAAAATTGGCAAAATTAAAGACGAATGCTTGAAGAACAATCGCGGTTTCTTTATGGATTAGCTGCGGCGCAGTGGCCGCATTCTCGCGGACTTTCCGCGAGAATATGCAAAAATTTCGAGGGTCGCACGTTCCTTTGTGGAGGACCGCGCAACCCCCAGGTACTTTCCGCTGAGAGAAAGTACCTCAAACTTGAGTAATTAAACCAACGGTGACACCTCTGCCACACAGAGTCTTACCTGCGCTAGACGTACGCCCGAAAATACCTAAAAAGAGTCCGAGCGCTTGCTGAAAGTTTGGCCAGCGCTCGCTGGAAGATATTATTTGACGAGCGCTCGCAGAAAATTCTGTATTGCTGCCCGCTGGCAGAACGCGGAAGTACCGCCCGCTGAAGGTTTGGCCACGCCCCAAAATTCTGCTGACCGCCTGCAGAAAAGCGCGAGTTTGCGGACCGCCTGCCCCCGGCGATTATCTGAGTGACTGCAACTCTTTTCGCAGCTGACGTCGCTTCTGCAGGGATCGCCTGGGTGATGGGTCCAAAAGATGTGTGGGACATTACCCCAACAATGTTCGCAGTAATCAAAGATTTGGTCCGCCATGTGCAGAACGAGAAGACCTCAAAGTAATCTACGCGAAAAATGGTGCGTTTTTGGGGGCAAAAAATGGTCAATTCTTCAAACTTTCTGAAAAAAATTTTTTGCAGGTCGCCCCTTAAAGACATGAATGATCCTTATAACAGCCCCAGCAGACATCTATATAACTACAGCATCTAGGTTCTTCAGCTGCTAACCTGCCTGAGATAATCCTGCACAAGGCCACTTTTCGCGTCGACCTTTCTCCCTTCTGCGCATGCCAGTGGACCGCTATGAGGTGCTGAAAAGCCAGCACGACAAATATATTAGGTTGTCCCGAAAGTTTTGTCGGTTTTTTGAAAACAATGTAAAACCACTTACAGTAAAGATCTGAGTGAGTGTCGAAACGCATTTGATGCAGCTTTTCCTTCTCTTTCTTATGGTTACATTTTCATACCACAATCTTATATGCTTTTTTTGATAATTGCCAAAATTCTACACCAGTCAATTTTACCTGCTCAAAGTTAGACTAATTATTAAAAATTTCATTCCAAAGTTTCGAAAAGGATTAAGCATGGATCAAATAGAGCAGGTCTCGGGCTACAAAGTACTATAGATTCTCCTAATATGTCAATTTTAGCTCCAAGAAATTATCTCTCCGGAGGTCTCCAGTTTTGGCAAAGTCATGAAACACGCAACTGCATCAAATACACGAAAGCTTTCATAGTTTCTTCGTATTGAAACATGATTCTTATCAAGCACTAGTTGGCTTTCCCGGTCCAGCCCGGGCTTGTTCCGTTCACTTGCACTGCAAGCCCCCCCCCCCCCCTTATATGTTATGGATGACTTACCCTAAAGACATCCGCTTCAAACCGCATCCTCGTGATAATGAGGTTAAAATGAGCTTCACCGCCCTCCTTTACAGATTATGGGAAAATGCTTGATTGAACATGATAAGCCTTCAATTCCTTAGAAAAACGTAAACAAATCAATAAATCGATAGAAGGACCAAACGAATCGCCGCAAAAAGTAGCCTATCATCTGCGCAGGGGTCGAAAACATATGTGTGCAAAGTTTCAGCTGAATTGGTTGAGCGCCGCGCATTTCTATAACGCACATACCCTCCAAACTAACAATTTTTGAGTTTTATATATATATATATATATAGATTATTTATGCAACATAACCAACTTTGATTCGCTTTGAAAAAGCAGCTTTTTGGATTTTTTGGTATTTTTACCTGTTAAACTTGATCAAAAAGTCGCGGTTTTATTGAATAAATGATGATAACGGACTTAGTAAACGAGGCTCATTTAATCTAAAATAGAGACAATGTAGGCAAAGGTTTGCTCTACATAACAGTAACCAGCGCTCTTCGGAAACATCGGAATAAAAAGTTCTAAAATTTAGGAAAGATTTCGCGTTACCACTGAGCTGCTCAAAAAGCCATAGCGATAACATTGCAACGACAAAGTATATTAGAGAGCAAGTGTAACT